AATGGATGGCATCCACACTAACACCCACTGTGGGACACCCCACAAATCAAACATTCAGGCCAGAACCACCCAGGGGTTCTTCCTCCCTCCCAAGCACACCCCCTCTGGGGTCCCTGGAAAGACAGGCTTAGTGAGAACAAAGGGGAACAGCATGTGATCCACCTTCTGAAACTCCAGGAGGTGCTAAAAGAAAAGTCCATTGCTCCTGACCCACCTATAGCTCTGAGATACGGGTCAGAGCAGCAACACCCAAAACATTAGACATTTAAAAGCTCTATTTGTTGAGCATTTAGTATGTGCCAGACTCTCCATCCACTCAATTGCTTTGTACCTTTTGCTGGGAATACTTGGTGAACAAAAACAAAGTCCACTTGCAGTCTCTTTTGAAATCTTCACTTCTTACCAGGTGAGTGGCGTCATCTGTGACTGAGGAAATGGGCTTGGCCAAGGTCAGACAGCAAAGACATGGTGGGGGGACCCAAAAAAGTGACAGAAGCAACGGGGCTCCCCAGGCATGGAAGGGCAGCCGAGGAGAGGGCCGTGGGGGTCACACAGTCTCTCAGGCAGCTGGCACGAGCTCTGCTGCCAGGGCAAGAGGCTCAGGGCATAAGGTGATGCTCCGAGTGCCCTCTGTGTGAGATCAGTTTCCCCTGAATGCAAAGGCAGCAGTCTGGACAGACCTGAGATGGGGTCCTAGCCTGCCCAGCCATTGACAAGCGAGTGGGCCATTGGGTGGGCCATTCCCCTCTCTGGGCTTCAGTTTCCTTGTCTGTAAAGTAGGGGTAATAACAGCAACTTCTACCTCCTATTCATGCTGTGACAATTAGTAGATTAGTAAATTACTTGCACCACAGAAACTGCTCAGAGCTCCGAGGAGCAGGGAAGGGCTGTGTCGCCTGTTGTTACGACACTGGCCTCTCACTGACACGGGATGTGAAAGTGCTCCAGAAGGGGCTGAACGCCATGTGGTCCAGCCAGTGGTAGTGACCCCACGTTTCTAGGCCCTACGATGGCCTCAGTGTGTCTATCACGAAGGCTCTCTCCAGCTGCTCTCTGGACCCCAGTTTGAACTCCAGAGCTTCCTGCCCCCAGAAAAGTTAGCAGTCCACTCTGGGTAACCCAACACCTGCAGTCTCAGAGCTGGGGGACCAGGTCCTGAGTTTCCCTTCACTCCCCCAACTCCCAACATGGGCTCAGTGTTGTGAGTGAGTGCTCTTGCCTCTCAGGAGCTTGGGGCTTTCCAGCGGGTCCCCAGCCTGGTGGTCATTGCCAAGCAAGAAGGCAGCCAGCAGCCAGCTCTGGACCTGCTGCCAGAAACAGACGGGGACCTAGGCTGGTGCGAGGCTGCTCCTCCATGTGCGCCCAGGAAGCTGGTGGCTCCTTTCCACCTTGAGGTGCATTTCAGTTCACCCGAGCAAAACTCCTAGGCAGCTGCCCCCATCCCTCGGGCGTGTGGGAAAGCACCTGGCTCCCCAAGTCTCCATCCTTCAGAAGGGTCCTGCAAGCCAAGGGACTTGCATACGGTCACAGTGCTAGCAAGTGGCCAAGACTCCAGCCAAGCCAGGAGTATGGTGGAAGCTGAGCATCCTTCTCAGGGACGGACACCCTGCCAGCTCGGGGAAGAGAAGCTCCGGGAAGGGGGCGAGTCACTTGACTACGTCTCACGGCCTGTTAGCCTCAGAACTGAGACTGGAATCCAGATTTGGGGCCCTCTAGGCCATGAGAGAGACTGTGATTTACTCCCATCACCCTCCTGCCCTCCCCACCCCCAACCTCTTTTATGTGACACCTGACATCATATTATCCATCACTCCCTCCCCCTGGGAACGCCCTCCTCCTCCAGTTTCCATGGCAGCACATTCTCTCCCACCCTCCCCCTGCTTCTCCAGCAGCTTCTCACTCTCCACCAGGGTTCCGGATCCTGGAAAGCAAGGGGAACCGCATCCCTTATCTCCGCTCTGTCTTCATCACACCCCCTCCCCGAGCCCCCAGGCTCTAGGGCGCTATCTCTGACCTGCCTCAGCTCCAGCTTAAGTAGCAACAGCTATTACCATGTGCTAGGAGCTTATTGACAAGCTGGGCCCTGTCCACTCTAAACTCAACATACCCTCACACCAGCCCTTTCTAGATGAAGAAACTGAGGCCGAGAGAGGGAACGCCAAGATCTGACCTCAGTCTTAATCACTGTTCCTATTACAACAAGAAGAGATGTGAAATCATAGGACATTTCGAAACCAGAAGCAAAAAATTCCCTCCCACCTGACAGGAGAGGAATAGAAATTTGGGGGGAAACCAGACCTACTCCACAGTTGTGATGATCTAGAATTACACTGTCAATTTAGAGCTTTAAAATGCACCGTGCACAGTACATTTTGAAATGTGAAGATTTGGAGAGTGCCAGAGGGAACAAAAGTTCATGGAAAATTGCCTTTTCCTCCAGCTCTTTCCATTTGACTTCCAAGTCTTCAAAAACTTCATCCAGGGATGCCAGCCACTAAGGTCCTTCCACTTCAGTGAAACCTGGAATTCACTAGAAACCAACCCTGGCGTTTCACTGACCTGAGTTCTGTCACTAACAGGCTGTGTGACCTAGGAGTGGATGGCTTAACCTCTCTGAGCCTTAGACTTCTTGTCTCAAAAAGGAAATTAGTAGTCCCCCCACCTGGTTGTCAGGAGGACCAGAAGGGATAATGTGCAAACCCCCCAGCCTGGTACCCAGAAGGGCTTAGTTATGCCCCATACTCCAGACGCCTCATCTCAGGTTTTCCAAGCCCTTGAAGATTTCATGCCTGTGCACCTCTTCTAAAATTGCTACAAATATGTGTTTGGGGAAGAAGTCAGAAAAAGCACCTCCCTGTGACAGCCTCCCTGGGGCTCCCTGTCACTGCGCATATCACACTGAGACTCAGCGATCTGTTTATGCTTTGCCTCCCGGCACTGGTTTGAGTTTCCTGAGGACCATGTCTGACTCATTCCCGAGTCCCAGTGCTCAAGGTGCCCAGCCTGGCATGAAGTAGCTTCAGCACAGGTTTGCTCTACCTTCCATGCAGTGGTCTGAATCCAGCCCCAGGGCAAATTTACATGAGAAATGGTATAAAGCAGCTGGATCTCTTGCAGCCACAGGAGCCCACAGCTCCCCAAAGCACCTCCAGTGCTGGGAGGGGCTGGAGGACAATCACCAGCCCCACATCACTTCCTCAGTGTTTCCCCCAAGTCTTGAGCTGTCCTCTGTGTCAGACATCTCCCCAGCGCATGAGCAGAGGGGTTTCCGAGGGTAGAGGTGGCCCCTGCCTTGCTGACAGCCTCCCCAGTCAGAGCTCTCCAAGGTCACAGGCTTCATTTGGAAAATGAAGGTGACTGGGGGGGGGCTGGGACTCTCGGTCTCGGTAGATTTGCAGGACTGCTGGGCCTCCCCCACATCCTCCAAGGCCTTAGAGGAGCCATTTCCTGGAAAGAAAGTCCCCCCCAGCCTTCTACAGCTTCTGGGGCGCTCACCCTGAAGACAGGCTTTGCCTAAGGGCATTCCTATGGTGAATGTGCCCAAAACCCACCTTGGTGACTACCCCTACCTCCTGACAGTTCATGCCTGGGGGACTGACGGCTCCCAGACAGGGGAGAGACATTTGTTCTAAGGAAGTGACAGTGAAAGGAAGAAGAGGTAGCTTCTTTCTTTCTTCTTCTTCTTCTTTTGTGTGTGTGTGTGTGTCAGACAAAGACGTCAATTTCTTCCCATCTGTCCCAAAAAGGGAAGACAATTAAATTTGTTTTTACAAGGATGTCAGCACACTGCTTCCACCCGGAGTTAGGGCTGTGACTGAGGCAGTATCATGGGGGAGGTGGTGGTGGTGATGAACCATGGAGAAGACAGGGGACAAAGGGAGATCCTATATTGGGAGGACAGAGATCTAGGAATGCCTGAATATAATTCCAAACAAATGAAAAGTATCCACAACTCTGGGTGGGCCACACCCTGAGCAGCTTGAATTGGGCTGTAAGAGCAGGTGGGGCCCTGGGGAGCTTGGGGGGGACCAGGACTGGGAGAGAGGAGCACACACTCACATGAGTACTGCAGTTATGAAAGCCAGGGCCTGTGTGAGCAGCTCCAGTTCACTGGAAGCCCTGGACACGGGGAAGGCCAGATGTTGTGAGGAAAGAGGGCTTCTTGGAGGTTCTTTGCAGAGATACAAGACCAGGAGAGGGGGAGGAGGAAAAGTCCACACTGGTGCTTCATATGCTCCCAGAGTCCTGGTGACACTTGCCATCCACAGAGCTCGAGTTAGTGTGCTCTTGTATCCTGCAGGACTGGGTAGGATGAGCCATGGCCCTAGGCACCTCCCAAGGGCCTCTGCCCTCTGGCTTGAGGACCTAACCTCAACGCAGAAGCTCCCATCGGCCCACCGCCCACCATCCCTAACAGAAGTTGACTTCCAGCCCTTGCTTTGGTGCTGGGAGCCCTCTGCGATCTCCTCCTACGCTCCTTCCACCAGCTGGGTCAGCACTCCAGAGAACTCAGGGCTGGGGACTCCACCTCAGCGTGAAGCCTTGTCCAGGAGCCAAGCCCTACTCCACTACTGTGCCCAAGACCCCAGGGTACAGGGCTGGGACACTTCTTTGATGCTAAAGGATCCCTGCCATTTCCTCAGGGAGTCTCTATTTCTCTCTCTCTCTTTCTCTCTGAAGACCTGGCTTCAGGGAGCCCAGCCTCTTGCTGTAACTCTGGGTTGGGACTCTACCCCATAGTTGAAGCCCCAGCCCCCATTCCGGCTCTATGTCCAGCTGGAGTCGCACCCCACTGTCCTATCCTGTCTTGCCCTGAAGAGGCCCCTCTCCACTGCACAGGACCCAAACCTGCAGCTCAATTTTCAAACCACAGTACACCCACGAACCCTTTCTGGGGTCCTGTCCCAAGATCTTCAGGCAGGACCCCACTCCCGCCCGCCCGCCCGGCCCCTACGACCCCCCCCCCCTCCTGCTCAGGTGAGAACTCCAGCTCGTCCCAAGATGGAGGCCCTGAGTGGCCGCTGGTTCTAGAGCCCCAGGTCCTGCCCACCGGGCGTCTCTAGCTCCCCCGCCAGCCCCAGGCTGTGGGCAGTGCGCTCAGCCCAGAAGCACCGCCCCACTGTCCAGCCGCGACTCCGCCCCGGACCTGAGGTCCACCGCGCTGCAGGGGCGCCACCTCCCGGCTCCCGAGGCGGCTCTGGCCCCACCCCCGCTCCAACACAGAGGCGCCGCTCCGCCCCACCAGAACGCCCAGCGACGCCAAGTCCCTGCGGAGGGGCGCGAGGGCCGCCCCGGCCCGCTCAGGCCGCGCCCCCGCCGGGACCGTCGGACGGGGTGCAGGCGGTGACCCGCTCGCGGGCCGTGGCTTCCCGCGCGCGGCTGAAGCTGCCGGGCTCCGGGCGGCCGCAGGGCGTGCGGCAGAGCTGGCGGAAGCAGCGCTTGAAGTTCTCGTCGAGGAAGGCGTAGAGCACGGGGTTGAGGCTGCTGTTGGCGTAGCCCAGCGCGATGCACAGGTGCAGAGCGGCCACCACCAGCGGGTCGCGGCGGTCGATGTCCACCAGCGTCCAGACGATGACGAAGATGTGGATGGGGGCCCAGCACACCACGAAGGCGCCCACCACCACCAGCACCATGCGCGTGATGCGCCGCAGGCTGCGGTCCTTCTCCTTGGAGCCTGACAGCAGGCGGACGCTGCGCAGGCGCAGCAGCATCAGGCTGTAGCACACCGTGATGATGAGGATGGGCACCACGAAGGCGAAGAGGAACACGCAGATCTTGGTCACCGTGTCCCAGTACCAGCTGGGGCTGGGGAACTGGAGCATGCACACCACCGCCCCGTCTGGGTCAGGGAAACAAGACAGACAGGTGATGCCCGGCCTGAGGCCCTGAGCGACCCTGCCCGTGCGCCCATCCCGAGAGTCCTGTTCAGCCCACTGCCTCCCCCTGGGGCTGGCGCCACGTGACTCTTCTACACGGAATGTCCCCCCCTTGACTTCTGTACTTGATGGACTCATGCTTAAGACCCCCACAGAATGGACCCTGACCTAGGAGCTCCTTTCTTTAATCTCTCCCAGTACCTTCATAAGCGTCCACGCTCATGGACGGCAGTAATGATACCGTTTTAGCCCAAGCCCATGAGAGTCCAGTGCTTGTCATTTAACACCCCACACATTTCCAAACCGGCGCCAGCGGGGTCAGTACAGCGAAGACAGACTCAGAGAGTGTGAGGCCCTCCTGTGTGTTCTGTGGGTCTGGGCAAGTTACTCAGCCTCTTAGAGAGCATCTGTGAAGTGGCACTAACAGGGGTTGTCGTGAGAGTAACTGGGCTAAGGCAAGTGAAGTATTGAGCACAATGAGGCAAAAGCTCTTAGTGCACTCACAGGGCAGGGGGCAGATGTGTGGGGGTGTGCAGAGGTGGGGGCCATGGGTGTAGGCAGCCAGAACTCAGCTTGGTGACAAGAACTTTCTGAGTGCCAGACTCGCCCAGAGAAAGGAGGGGACCCCAGGTTAGAATGAGCACCCTATTCTTGGTGTGTGGGCTTAGGTAGGATGAACACTTTAGGGGAAGTTGTGGTATTCAGAACAAGGCTGGCCCGATTCTGGGATTTGAGAAGCTACAAGGTGGTCATAGAGCCTGAGAATTGTGAAGAAAGGGGATGGAGAACCACAGGACACCAGGCTGGAAGGGCCCTAGGAGTGATCAAGCCCAAGGACTTCATTTTACAGGTGGTAGAACCAGGACCAAAGGGTAGCAGCACTTGCCCAAGGCCACACAGCGAGTGGCACCCACAGCCCCAGTGCTAATGGCACACAATGGGGGAGTGTGTGTGTGTAGTATAGTGAGGAGACCCATCTGGTCTGGCCACCAGCAGGATGACAGCTAATGGCCCGTAAACTGAAGGCTGACAGTGAGGAATGGACCAGTCAAGCCAATACCAGTCTCTCAGAGGTCATATAAGGGCGCTGGGTTCTACCCTTGACAGGGGTAAAGGATCACCAAGAAGTCTCCCAGCAAGCCTGTTTCCCCCACCCACCCACCCATTGCACCGACCCTCTGCCTAAAAGCAGCTAAAAGGAGCAACAGATAGGGGGCAGGAGCCTTGGATTCTTGGCTAAGTTCCACCACATGACTCGCTGTATGACCCTTAGTACACTACTTGACCTCAGAGTCTTGGTTTTCTTTTAGTCAAATGTAGGCAAAGTGCCTGTCTTATCTACCCCATTGGCTTAATCACTTTCACAGCTTCTATTTAATGAGCTTTGGCAACCAATGTCCTCAGGCCTTGTCCTAAGTGTTTTACACATATAGCTTCATTTAATCTTCTCAACATCACATAGCATAGTGTGGCTGATAGGTTAATTTGTGACCTGTGTCTCCAGCATCCTGCTAAATTACTTTTCCTACATCTTCATACCAAATTGAGGCCACATGACCACCTATCACTAGGAAGAGACAGGCCATGATATTTAAAAGTGGTTGTGTGGGCCCTCCCTGGTGGCGCAGCGGGTTAAAGCATACCACTAAGAAGCTAAAGCCATTTCCGCATGAATTTGATCCCTGCCTGCCCTGGAGGTGACCCACATGGTGCAGCAGACCTCTCCTGACCCGGCCGCTGCTCCCCTCAGCAATATACTTGTCAGTCGGTCTGTTCTGCTCCCCACTCTGTCTCTGATGAATCCTCTCACTGACTCTGCACCTCTGGCCTGTGGCCCAGTTCTGTATGCATAAATAAATAAATCTTTAAAAAAAAAGTGGTTGCGTTTTCTCAGTACTCCCTCTCCAGATTCATCTGCTGGCTGGATGCCAACAGCTGATGATTTTGAAACCATCATTCAGAGCCTGGATCCCTGAATGACTGTGTGGAAGGAAAAGACATGATGTGAAGGAGAAATTGTGTTAAGTCACTGAGCTTTGGAGATCATTACATTAGCTACCCTGATTTAATACAGGTAGTTACTAAAATAATTATCATTTTGCTTTGGGGAAAATGACCATTCTGTAGAGAAAATCTACCTGTCATTTCCTGAAGGCCATTCTCTAGACTTCCTTTGGTTATTTGGGTCAATGATTTTCAAATTGGGGTGAAAGGGAATCTGGGATGAGCCCACAAATCTTAAGAACTCCATTACTAGTCAGTGATACCCTCACTCCACTGACCATCCATCTCTCAATAGGTAAGTCGGCCACACCTTGCCAGCATCCACATGCTCACAGATCAGTCATCTAGGGGTGGGATTTATAATCCCATTCATACATTTCCTTTGGCCTGTAACCCACATGACCAGTGCCCAGACATTCATTCTCACAAACATCAACCCTTCACATTCCCACTCAGTAAGTCATTCCCATTCTCACTGGTTGATTACTCCTCACTGGCCAGCCATCTTCACTTTCACTGATAAGAAACCCACATGTTCACTGGTGAGCCACACACACCCCCCCATAAGAGCCCAAGGGCTGCCTCTGGTAGTTAGCAGCCTGTGCCACACAGCCCCTTATTCACTCACCCCGGGGGCGGGTCACAGCCATGACCATGATGGGGACACCCACACCTGAGGCCAGGACCCAGATGCAGATGTTGATCAGCTTGGCTTTGGCAGGTGTGCGGAAGTCCAGGGCCTTGACTGGGTGGCAGACGGCAATGTAGCGGTCAACACTCATCATGGTGAGCGTGAAGATGCTGGTGAACATATTGTAGTAGTCAATGGAGAGTACAGCCTTGCAGAGAAGTTCCCCAAAGGGCCATGTCCCCATCAGGTACTTGGCACTCTGGAAGGGCAGCGTGCTGGTGGCCAATGCATCTGCCAGGGCCAGGTTGAAGATGTAGATGTTGGTAGCTGTCTTCATCTTAGTGTACCTTAAAAGGAAGTGCATGTTTAATTGTTCCATTTCACAGATTTCAGGCTCACAGATCTCAGGTCCTCAGGGTGGTGAAGTGACTTGCCCAAGGTCACACAAACAGGGCAGAACTGGAACCCTGTAGTCTGACTCAGTATCACTCCTCTCCACTACAACAGAGGCAAAAAGATTTCTCTGTCTGTGCAAAAGATATTTTAGCAAAAACTCTTATGTTCCAAGGTGGTCTAAAGATAAAAGATAAAAATAAAACAGGGATCCAAAGGAAAACAGACATGGGTTCTAATTCTGCTTCCACTATTTATTTGCTGAGTGACTATGTTTTTTTTTTTTTTTTAAAGATTTATTTATTTATGCACACAGAACTGGGTTACAGGTGGTGGTGAGAGGATTCACCAGAGACAGAGTGGGGAGCAGAATAGGAAGACTGACAAAGTACACTGCTGAGGGGAGCAGCAGGTGGGTCAGGAGAGGTCTGCCATGCCATGTGGGCCACCTCCCAGACCGGGGATCAAACTGGTGCTGAAGTGGCTGCAGCTAGCTTCATAATGCTGTGCTTTACCCCATTGCATCACCATGGAGGGCCGATTATGGTCTTTTAACATGAACTCTAAGTCTCAGTGTCTGTAACTGCAAAAAGAGGGACAATGTTTTTACCAACTTTATAGAATTAACAAATGTAATGAGATGATATACCACTTAGCTCTGAGCCCAAAGCATGCTAAGTGCTTACTATATGACAGCCGTTATTCTTTAGAGCTAAAGAATGTTGCTGGGGGTTAGAATAGAATGACCTGGCTTCTGACCTCTGCTTCTGACCTGGCCTTCTGGGAGGTGATTGGCCAGTTCTGAGGAAGGGACGCTGCCTAGCAGACTGGCCAAGGCCTCAGACCCTGGGGGGCTCCTTCAAGGTAAACCAGGGCTCCAGTCCCTCCTGTGGCCCTATCCAGACTGTCCTGTCTCCATACAGGTGGATTCACCCAGTTGTGAGGAAGGGGAGCTGGTGAAAGTGCCATACACCCAACCCAAGGTGTGAGCCCAGGTGTCCAAACCAGATGTCTGCAACCCAGTCCTGCATCCCAAACTCCCCATCGCTCTTCCATCCTCTGATGCTGCACAGATGCTTGTGCTACAGCTGGGCCTTCATCCAGCCGGCGCTGACAGGAAGGCGGTATGCGCTGAAGCAGTGTGACCACCACAGAAACACTCAGGTACACTGAGGCAGGGGCAGCACTTCACCCATGCCCTCGAGTGACCTGGGCACCCCAGAAAAGGTAATGGGAATGACTCCTCAAATTTCAGAGCAGGAAGTGCCCTGAGAGATAGAGGGGGAATTTGAGTAAAGTGGGGCCCAAAGACTCTCCTCAGAATTACCAGAAGAACTGGTGAGAAATGTAGATTCCTGGACCCCACACCAGACCTGCTAATCTTAATCTCTGGAAAGGAGGCCTGGACGTCTCTATTTTATGGACTCTAAAGTTTGAGAAACAATGTAATCTAAAGCCCACACAGCAGGAGGGGGGTGGCCTGACTCAGCCAAAGCCACACAGTGCATGGCCAGGTAAGACTCAGAGACCAGGTAAGAACGCAGACCTCCCTGACTCCCAAACCAGGGCTGTCCCCCAGTCTGTCCCAAGGGAGAAGCACCACTGTGCCTCCAGAGCCTTCCAAACCATGCCCAGTCCCGGACCCTCAGAGCAAACATGCCCATGACGTTTGCATGACTGAATGAACTCATATCAACGAAGACTGTTCCTTCATGAAATGACCATGAAGGAAATGGTCTCAGACTCTCCCTGGTGGTGCAGTGAATTAAAGCACAGCACTATGAAGCTAAAGCCACTTCAGCACGAGTTGGATCCCAGCCCTGGAGCTGACCCACATGGTGCAGCAGACCTCTCCTGACCCGCCCGCTGCTCTCTTCAGCAGTGTGCTTCATCTACCTGCTTGTTCTGCTCCCCACTCTATCCCTGGTGAATCCACTCACTGCCCCTGCACCTCTGGCCTGAACCCCAGTTCTGTACGAACAAATAAATAAGTCTTAAAAAATAAATAAATAAATAAATAAATGGTCTCACTCATTGTCCTCCAGGGCCAGCATCTGTCCCACTCCCTACCAAAATAGCTGTCATTTGCCCTGGGACCGGAGGAGCAAAAAGTTTTGCTGGGAGACAGCAGAATTGCAAGTCTCGGGAAGTCTGTCTTCAGCGGTAGTGGGATCACAGCTGTGTGGGAGGCGGGCTCAACCCCACAGCTGACTCGTCTAATTTCGCTTCTTTTACGCAGAACAATTAGAGGCTGTTCTTTGCCTGCTATTTTGATTTGTGAAGGATCCTGCAATTCCCAGAGGGGGCTGGGATGCTGGGGAGCAGGTGATAAAGCTGCTGCCGCTGGTTCAGGCCCAGCCCCAAGGCTCCTGGTCCCACAGGCCTCCCCCACCAGACCACAGGTAGCCGGCAGACAAGCTCTCTGGCCTCCTCAGACAAGTCTTCCTCCTGCTCTCCCGTCTCAAGTCCCCCCTTCCCGCTGCCCCCGCCAAAGGGGTCCATATTCCACAAGCTGGCCCAGGCCACTTCCAGCGTCTCAGATCTTCTAGAAACTTCCCCTTGACTGCGATACAATTTAGGCCCTTCCCCACCCCATACGCCGGCCTCTTTGCTGTTCCTTAGACACAGCAAACCTACTCCCACCTCACAGCCTTTGGACCATTGCGCCCTCTGCCTGGGAGCTCCTCTCCCAAATTCTGCCTGGCTTGTTCCTTCACTAAATTCAGGACTCTATTCAAATATCACCACTCAGAGCCCCCGGCCATCTTTTCTAAACCATCTGTCTCCCCAAAATCACTTCACTCTCCTTACACGGCCTCATTTTTCTTTATGTCATGAATCAACACCTGACCTCTATTTACCTTCCTTCCTTTATTTTTTTTTAAAAGATTTATTTATTTACTTATGCATACAGAACTGGGGTATAGGCCAGAGGTTCAGGGGCGCTGAAAGGATTCAGCAGAGGCAGAGGAGGGAGCAGGACAGGCAGATCAATGGAGTGCACTGCTGAGGGGCGCAGCAGGCGAGACAGGAGAGGTCTGCTGGCCATGTGGGTCCTGGCCGGGGATCGAACTCACATTGAAGCAGCTGCGGCTAGCGTGCAGTGCTGCACCCTAACCTGTTGTGCCACCAGGGAGGGCCCTACTTACCTTCTGTTCTGTCCATCTGCCCCTCATCTATGTGTGTCCCCTAAGGTAGGAGACTGTGTCATTTGTTCTCTGTCATACTGCCTGTGCTACCAAGAGCTCCAGGCAATTAGACATTTGTTATATCTGGGGACATGACTAGTGTGTTACTCACTGTTTGCATTCTTTCTCCATATAATCTATTAATTCCTTTTGATGTCCTATTTCTCCCACTCCTGGAGTCTCCCTCTTCCTCTTCATTCTGGGACTGATCACTTTCTAGACCAAATACACACTGTCCTGTGTCAGGGCCCTTGTTTCCTGGCTTGCAAGTGTTGTCTATCTTGGTTTCTGCCCTCATTGTGATGGAGTATATCCTCTAGTCACTTCCTAAAAAAGGACATATAGAAAATAAAAATGTTAGTTAGCGCTTGATCAGTAGTGGGAACAAAGGGCGGACACCACAGAAACCGGAGCAGTCCCAGGGCTGTCCCGGCCTGGCTATCATCAAGTCACCATCGCACCCCTGAAGGAGCCGTTGTGTGCGGCAGGACCCAACAGCTGGCCCCGCCCAGCTGTCTCCACCATCACACTGCTGACACAAACCCGTCACCTTGGGCAGCAGTGCAGAGAGTAGGTGGCCTCACATGGGGGGAGGACGCATGGCAGGGACAAGAAGGTCAATAAACAGTTCTGGGAACAGCAAGATGGTTTAATGGAACTGATGTGGTTTCACAAATAGGGCTGACACCAAGGAAGATGTATTTGCCTACCAGGCTGCCACAAAGAATAACCCCAGGAAGTACCTTCACCTTGTGGGAAATGGAGGGCGTGCAGGGTTTGATGTGTTGAAGAACAGGGTGTGGAGGTAGCACAGGTGATGGGCCCTGGTGGAGTCCCAGTGGAGGCAGCAAATATGCCTCAGACCAGAACCATCCGGGGCACGACCCACACCACAGGTGTCCATGCAAGGGCCCACAGAATTACCAGAATAGTGAGAATGTGGCAAAGGAGGCGTCAGAGAGCAGAGAGGGCACTGGCCCTACTGCAGGCCATGATTCCCACCTTACTGCCTGCAGAGACCCTACAGGCCTCAAGTCATCGTATTCCCGCCCACTGTGCAGGGAGATGGGATTTAACTCAGTGCCAATACCTGGTAATGACTTTGCTACCTGCCCTCAGAGCTGGTTACCTTCCTCCCTCAACCACATACTTATTGAAAAAGTCAAGGAATCTAAACTTACTATAAGCTGCGCTTTGGTCATTCTTCCAACAGCTACTATTGAGCCCCTGGTATGTGCCAGCCTCTCTCAGACCCCACTCTCTCCTTCTTCCTCCTCCCTTCCTCTCTTCTATTTTCTCTCTCTCCTTACAGCTGAAGACACAACACAGCAAAAATAAAGGTGTGTTGGGCCCTCCCTGGTGGCGCAGCGGGTTAAAGCACTGCACTGAGAAGCTAAAGCCACTTCCACATGAGTTCGATTCCCGCCTGCCCCAGAGGTGACCCACATGGCGCGGCAGACCTCTCCTGACCCGCCTGCTGTTCCCCTCAGCAGTGTACTTCATCGATCTGCCTGTTCTGCTCCCCACTCTTTCTCTGGTGAAGCCTCTCACTGCCCCTGAGCCTCTGGCCTGTACCCCAGTTCTGTATGTACAAATAAAAAAAATAAAATAAAATAAAGCTGTCTACAAGCCAGGAAGAGTCCTCACCAGGCATTGACCAAGGTGGAAACTTGCTTTTGGATTTCTAGCTTTTAAAGCTATGAAAGAGTTGGTTCCTGTTATGGTATTTTGTTATGGTCGTTTGAGCTGATTCAACCAAAATGACA